AGAGACAGGCTTCCTAGCCCCGTCCGGTGGGTCCGGGGGGGCGGCTGCAATCCCCGCGAGGAACTGCCCCCCCCGGGACCAGGGACCGTCCCCGAGTCCCTGCGCAGGGCCGGAGCCAGAGCGCGGCCCGCGGAGCAGCCCGGGGTGCTCAGAGCAGCGGGTGGGTTCCCTCGCAGGTCCAAGGGCTTCCAGACCGGGGGGGGGCATCGTCACGGCTTTAGAAAACCTTTCCCCCCTCCCTTGGCCTTATTCCGGCCTGTGATGGCAAATGCAGCCCCTGAGCAGGCGCAGCGGGTGGGGGAGCAGCGTGTGCCCCTCGGGCGGCGGCCTCAGACCCGCCACCACCATTTCTGTCGGCATCGGACCCTCCGACCCAACACACCTGGGGCGGTTTGGGTGCTCAGACCTTCCCACGCCAGCCCGAGGGTGCGCCCGGGTCTCCCCTTGCACAGACTCGCAGAGTTCAGGCCGGAGGATGAGCCCCAGGACCCCACGAAACCGCCTGTGGGGGCACCGACAGCGGCGCGAGGGGCAGGAGCGGGCGCCCGGTGGGGCTGGCACGTGCCCTCGCAGGGCAGGAGGGAGAACCCCACCGCGGAACACAGCGGCCACGGCGGTGCCCGACGCCCTCGAGTGAGCCCTGAAATCTGTCAAGCTCTTGTGTGCTGCAGCGCCGGCGGTGCCTCCTCACCTGAGAACCCCGCGAAAACGAAGCCCGGCGTTAATTGTTGTTGGAGCGAGCGGAGCGCGGGCAGCAGCGGGTCCCTGTCCCCCTCGGTGACACGGCCTCGGGGCCTTTGCTGGCCTTGTGCACCTCCCGCAGGGTGCCGGGGGGGGAAGCTGCTCCCCGCTCTAGAGCCGAGGGCGATCAGACATGTGCGGAGCTCGCAGGCGCTGCCTGGTCACCCAGAAAACCTCAACCCGCTGGGCGTTAGCGCATCGCCTGAGCCGTCACCCACACGTGGAAGGTCCCTCCCTGGCCGGGGGGATGCAGCCACAGAGGGTCAGGGGTGCTGCCACCCCCCGGGACGGGCTCTGCACTGGCCTCTCCTGGAGACGTCACCAGCTCTGACCCCAACGTCCAGCTCTGGGCCCCGCGCCGTGGGTCCGTCAGGGACATCCTTCCCTTTATCATTTTAAGGCAAAACTCTACTTTTGAGGATCCAGTGCATTTGAAGATTATTTTTTTTCCCCCGAGCAATCGCATGCTGTTAGCACTTGCTGTACCAAGTGTTGTTAAGTAAACACGTTGCCTCAACCCCCAGCGTTTCCTATAGCCTCGGTCATTTTTAGAACAGAGGTTCTTTTCCCCATCCATGTTGCAGAAGGTTGCCCAAACGCTGCTGCTGAAACCACATGTGTTCATTTCTGTGTCACTCCTCTGCAGGCCCCTGTCACCGCCCCAGGAGCTGACGAAACCACAGTCTGTCATGGCGAGAGCAGCCTCCGGCCCCGCGCAGGGCGCTCGGAGCGCAGCCCCCCCGGGCCTTGAGGGGTTTGTGGGGGTGTGGCTGGGGATGAGCCGCCCCGCTTGGGCGCCGGCTCCTGCAGGAGCATCACTTGGGAAAGCTGCTGCTGCAGTTCAGGTGGATTTGGGGGCTCGCCCCCCCCCGCTGCCCAGGACGCTGTGGGGTCCCCATGGCCGCGCCTTGGGAAGTCCCGGCTTTCCCCGCTGAGCGGTGTCTGGCCCTGAAGAACTTTCTCCCAGCGCGGACGAAACCGACCCCGGTGCTGCCGGCCCCGCCGAGGGCGCACGGGGAACTTTGCTCTCACGGGCTCTGTGCAAGTGGTGCTCTCCCAGCAGTTTGCACAAGGGGTTATTTTTTTCACAGAAATTTCCTGATGGGCCCTGATGGGGCCACTCACCCCCTCTATCCCCACTCAAAGCACATCAAATAAATGCACCGTCCAGCGGCTGCTCTCTGCGCTGCTGCTGGTGTCAGAGGAGCAGTTTCCCTCGCTGCTCTCATCCCTCCACGGTTTCCCCGTTGGGGAACAGGCCCCCCCACGCCCTGCCAGAAGCTGCAGCCCAAACCGTGTCATTTATTAATGACATCAGGGGAAAAGCAGAGATGACCTCCCTCTGCACACACACACACACACACCCAGCACTCCCAGCGAGCCCCGAGTGTGTAACTGCATCCCGATACCCCCGGGTGACTCCAGCCTGGGTGCCCGGTTTGTGTCTGACAGCAGGATTTCGGCGTTGCCCCTCATGTACCTTGTCAGAGACGGGTCATTCCTCGGGGCAGCTGGTGCGTTGTCCCTTGTACTGCCTCCCCGTGCACTCAGGTGGTTGCAGACCCTAAAGCCCCCCCTCGCCTGGCTGCAGATGCTGATGGGGCCGGAGTCGGTGTCAGGGTCTCCCCACAGAGCTTGTGAAGGTGCTGTAAGGGAAGCAAAACTCAAAGCATGAAAAACCACCAGTTATGGAAATGCAGGCCACAGCAGCTGGGTTAGACTTAGAATTTAAAAAAAAAGGGGCAAGCAATGAGGAAACAAGGAGGTTGGAAAAGCAACTTTCCTGCCTCAGAGCAGGGGTGGCCGCTCGCTGGAGCCACGTCGAGGCAGCTCGGGAGGGCTCGGTGGTGGATACCACCAGCCCGCGGCGGCGTTTGCCTGCTCCCCCGGCGCAGGGAGCAGTGCCCGGGCGCCAGGACGTGGGTGTGACAGCAGAGGGGAGGTGCAG